GTCCAATTATAGGTCAAAGATATTTCTGAAGTTTTGGTGGAATTGCTTAACAGGTTCGAGTAGCTCCCATACAAGTCTAAAAGCTTATTTTAAATATTCGGCAAAATAATAAAGTCAGATTAATGAAATTTGGCAGTTGTGTGTCCAATTATAGATCAGATATATTAGCGAAGTTTTAGTGGAATTGCTTGACAGGTTCGGGTACCTGCCATACAACTCCAAAAGCTAATTTTAAATATTTGGAAAAATAATAAAGTCAAATTCCTGAAACTTGGCAGTTGTGTGTCCAATTATAGATCAGATATATTTGCGAAGTTTTAGTGGAATTGCTTGGCAGGTTCGAGTGGCTCCCATACAAGTCCAAAAACTTATTTTAAATATTTGGAAAAGTAATAAAGTTAGATTCATGAAACTTGGCAGTTGTGTCCAATTATAGGTCAAAGATATTTCTGAAGTTTTGGTGGAATTGCTTAACAGGTTCGAGTAGCTCCCATACAAGTCTAAAAGCTTATTTTAAATATTCGGCAAAATAATAAAGTCAGATTAATGAAACTTGGCAGTTGTGTGTCCAATTATAGATCAGATATATTAGCGAAGTTTTAGTGGAATTGCTTGGCAGGTTCGGGTACATGCCATACAACTCCAAAAACTAATTTTAAATATTTGGAAAAATAATAAAGTCAGATTCACGAAACTTGTGTGTTCAGTTATAGATCAGACATATCCGTGAAGTTTCTATAGAATGGTTTCACAGGTTTGAGTAATTGCTATACAACAATGAAAGGTGCAGGGTATAATTCAATCGGTTCATACCGACTGAAACGTTTTTACTTGTTTTCTTTTTCGTTAAACAGAATTTAAGTACGAAGCTTTTATTGTCAGATTTTTTAAAATATAAACTCTTCTTTATTAAATAAAAAGAAAAAAATAATAAAAAATATAACACGATCAATAGAATTTTAAGAAAAACCAGAGGTAAAGGTAACAAATCGCATTACTTTGAGGAATTCATTTCTTCGAAAAATTATAGTTTGTCTCCATATTTTAACAAAATATTGGAGGATTCTGTACAAAGACGCAAAATGTTTACCAGCTTTCGTTTCTTCAAGATTTAATAATATAATTTTATTGAAGTTGTCAGTTTTTGGGAATTCGAATTGGTTTGCTATAAATAGTTTCAGTTTTTCATATTTTTTTCATAGTTCCAAGCATTGCTGCTGTCGCTTGTATGGATTCGTCCATGAAAGTTATTTTGAAGGCTCTAACAGCCCCATCAGACTTGCTTCGTCCCTTTTCCCGCCAGCTGCAATACGTTTTATTAAGGGGCCAGGGTTTCTTCGGAATTACATTAAGGACATATCAGACGCATTGTGAAATCTTCTGAAATATCAACAAAAAGATTTTACGATGTGTTATGTTCAGAATTTATTTGAGGTTGAATGAAATTTCCGTCAAAACTTGTTTCCAAATATTTTTCGATGCATATCGACCGTTCCGGATAACTATTGTATCTCAACAACATAGATTTTTCCCTTTTTGTTATAAATAAAGATATTGCAATGAAATGAAAGGTAAAATATTGGAAATAATTTTCTTAATAAGTCCTGTTAAAACTTTTCTCTTTTTAATAACCAAAGAAATGGCAATTTACACTGTAAGTCGACTTATAACCGCGAAGTGAATAACATTTTAATTGTATTTATACTTCAATAAAAAATTCCACAAACTGTGTTCATATTTTGGTTCACGTTGATTTGCAAAATTTATTGTAAAATATATGGTAAATTCTTAAACGTCAAATTTTACAAAATCTGAGTTGTCTGAGTTTACGAATACTCCACTGCATTTTTACTTTCATTCAAAGTTTAAATTCTTAAACGTTTATAAAAAGTCAATTAAGCGTCAAAATTGTAGATTTTTTTTTTACATGCAGACAGTCTGACGTAGTAATTCAGTAAATAAATTTGATGTATTGAGTGACTATCATTACGTTAAAAATAATATAAAAAATATTTTTTTTTGTTAATTTTTAATATGTAATTATAAAATTATTTTAAATCTAAAAATAATTTTTTTTTGTTTTGACGTTTACGGATGATCAAAATTCAAAGTCAATTACGGTTAAAAAGTTTACTACATTTCTGTCCGTAAAAGTTTTATACGTCAGACAGTTTGCGGACTGAAAATTAAATTTTGACGTTAAAGAATTTGCGGATAGTATGCTTATTATTTACAATACAATATTATGAAAAGCAATGGTTTCAAATTTAGGAAGAGCTAGAGCAAATGGATTTTTTTGAAAATATTGCAACTTTCTTTTACAAAAACTTAATATTTTCAGATAATTAGTGCTACTTTAGTTAAAACTTATATTTTTACAACCAATATAAATGTAAGTCAGCAAATAATAGTTTTACGTCTTATTAACGTAAATCACTTTAGAATAATGTTCCAGGAACTTCCGTAAGTGCAAATACAATATTTGTAACAACAGAGAACAACTTATAACAAAGTTTTTTTACATTTGTGGAAATTCTATTAAAGGTAGTAAAAAACTTTGTAGGTACATGCGCATGGTTATAGAGCAGTCACAGAAGCAGGGAAAACTTTTATTGTAAGTGTACTCAGAATAGTTTATTTGGAGCCGTAGATACATATGTATATTAAATTAAAATAAATTGAAACAAAAGACTCTCTAATTGTAGAAAGCAATGGAATTAAAAAACATAATGTATCAAAATATTAAGTTCTCAAATGTAAAATAATACAATATGTTTACAAAAAAATATACATTGTATTAAAACATAAATAGACATGTCTTTTTTTGCAACTTTGACAAAATTACACAACTTTTATTTGGTGATTTCGAAGAAACCCGTCATATCCCATGTAGACCATGGAGGCCATCCGATTTTCTAAGGTGGTATTTTTGGCACATTTACTTAGTACTGAAATTTTAAGGTGCCAGTTACACATCAGACTACGATTCTAATCGATCTACGATTTAATCGATAGTAAAGCCTGATGAGAATTTGCACATCAGATTCTATTTACATTTTTAAGTCAACTTTTTGATGGCAATGTTAAAATATTTATAATCCAAATGTAAAAGCCAAAATCAGTTGATCGTGGCAAAAACTTTTTTAGAAGTTTATTTCCCGCCATGTTTTATCAAAAATCTGACGATAATCGGACGTGTCTCAATTGACAAAAAAAAAACTGCTTACAGACCCAATTCTTCTTAATATTGAAAATAACACTTTTTTAGTAAGGACTCTTAAATTAGTTTCCAATGTCAGATTCCGTTTGAATAGCCCTGCAACTAAAAATCATTTTCCAAATTATTCAAAACAAATCATATTATACGGATAACCTTGATTTAAGAACTATATTAAAAGAGAAATGAGATACCTCATCCATCATGTGTAATTATATCATGTATCCATTATGTCATTTCTTATTATATGTATATATAATAAGAGATGACACCGATTTCTACACGCCATGTCTTAAAAATAATTTGCTTTACTGTTATAAAAGAATGATATAAGCTATTTTCCAGGTCCATTAACTAATGGCTTACTTAATTCCTTAAAGTTTAAAAGATTAGTTCAACGAGATTTTCATAATTATGTGAAACACGTTCATCAAACAAAAATACACTTTGCAATCGGTTCTGAACACATCAAAATTTATTAATTTTATCTACATAGTAAAACAACTTTTAAAACAAGAATAACAATTTTCAATAAAGAGTTAATTGTTTCAAATTAAGTGATTTGAATAACCTCATTTAGTTTAAAAAATATAATGAGAAATATAAAAACTTATACATAAACTGCTTAAACCACAAATTTTAGTATAAAATTCTAATTAACCAAAGTTTACTATAACTGAGTTTTCTATTAAAAATATAAAATTTCGCAACGTACAATAAATTAAGTATACATATACGTAAATAAATTTTCACTTTTCTTATATTGAAATAAGTTTGGAAAAAGTTCGTTTATTGATATTATTTTTTTAGAACCGCTCACAGTTTAGATTCACTTTTGCAACAAATGTGAATTTGTTGCAAAACCAAAAAAATCAAGTTTAACTGATTGAAATGAATCTGATCATACATAAAATATAATTAAGAAAATTACCTTGTTGAATTTATAAAAGAAAAGCTGGAGGTTTCTTCTTAATTTTCAGTTTCTGAAAAATTTGATTTCGGTGTACGTAGCGACATCTTACCACAAAATATTTCAATTCACTATCGCTTATTTATTTCAGATACAGAAATACAGATATTCAGGTTGGATACAGATATTTTTGATGTGTCAACTTGTCATAACAATTGAAAGCATTTTTGCAGATCTATTCAATTATTTGCAGAAGTATATATAAATCAAAATATCTGAAAGTTTTCTTAACTTTGTATAATTTAGCCTACTTTTGTAAGCAATAATTTAATTCAGCTGTCAAAATGCCAAATAAGCGATGTAATTATATTAGCTTAAACCACTGCTGACAGAAATACAGAATTTTTTATTCACTGTATTATCATTTTTTACTCTTAATTCTCTCAGATTGTTGTCTGACAGGGCAGTACAAAAAAATGCGGAAAAAACTCAGAAAATATATTTTCTGATATATAATTATAGTTAAAATTTTGAGTTGAAATTTGAATTTTTGATATGTAGTTCAGAAAAGTCCAAATTTCACGTTAGTATAAAAATTTTCAAGTTTTAGTCAACTTTTCGAATAGAAAGCTCGAAATGAAAATAGGCAAAAATCATAATTTTTCTAAAAAAACATCAAAAAAAATGATTCTTCAGAAATGTCATTTCGCCAAAAGTACATATTATGCAATTTTACAAATCCATCCTCAAAAAAAGTAGAGTTCAGGCCTTTATTTTTGTAGTGTCAAAGTTTGAACAAAATCGAGAGAATTTTCAATTGATATTGACAGTTTTGAGCCTTGACAGACATACATATTCATTACAATCGAAAAAAATATCGAAATATTAAAAATTACTAATAATTAACTCAAAATTGCATTCTAAATTTAAATTTTACAATATTATTTTATTTCTTTGAAATTAACATAAAATTCATTTATTAAAATTTCATTTTCAAGAAAAACATTCGTCGCATCCCTGATGAAGATGCAAATTACGAACAACTTGTTTGGCGTATTTAGTATGTAAAGAAGATTAAATATTATTGTGCATGCTTTATTTATTTGAAAATATTTTGAAGTTTAGTAAATTTGTTAAAGTTACCTACTCTAACCGAAACATAAACTGGGAAGATAAATAAACAATAAAAAAATTTTAAAATTTTTGAGAAAATATCAATTTGATTGTTTTGGCATATCATTATTAATAAGTATCGCAGAATGGTAAGAAACTAAAAACCTACTCTACGTTCTAATCGATTTACAAAATAAATTTGTTTGTAGTTATTTTACTCATTTTTCAAATCGTTGGTGGGAAAAGATGTTATAGTGGAATTAAAAAATGATTTAAGGTTAGTACTAATGTATTTCATATTTCTCGTAAGAAAGTTATTTTCTTGCTACCCATAAATTAGGGTACAGTGCATTATTTGTTTAAGTTAAAAGCAATTTTAACAATTGAATAACGAGTTTTATCAATTTAAAAAGAGTTTTATTTTTCTCAGCATTTGTGGTACATTGCATTCGGTTGATCAATATCTAAATATAAAACTTACAGACATAAGTGTCACAGATCCAGAAAAATATCCTCATATGTTATCAGTGAAAAATTGCTTTATCAGAGGTTCGGTTGTCCGATATGTTCAATTACCAGGAGAGGAGGTGGATACACAACTTTTACAAGATGCGGCTAGAAAAGAAGCAGTTACCGGTAGCGCAAGGTAAATTTGGTTTCTGATTTGTATTATTTCCACTGGCTTGTCTTAAGAATTTCTATGTATGTATTTTAAGTTTTTGTACAAAGTAAAAATTGAATGGTTAAAACTATGCATTTATGAATAAATTTATAGCTGTTTAATTAATTTAAAAAAATATTTTAATGCATATTTGCAGATAAATATCAAATCTTAGAATGTGTTAAAGTAGGTTACAGTAAAACCTGTTTACTTAATATTAAATCCTACCGAAGTTCTAATCAAAAAGGTAATAAAAGAATTTTTGTTTATTTGAAGAACAGATGTTAGTATCAAGTGTTTAATAGTGGCAATATATTTGGGTAATGCATATAAGATTCATATTTGAAAATGCGGATAAGGTGCCAACTAGAAATTATTCAAAACTTCCTTATCGAATTTAACTTATATGTTTTAGAGAAAGAGACAGATCGGATTTTTCAAAAACGATTTTAACAATTTTAAAATATGTAGCATGATAAATACATATAGAGCATTGAAAATTAGGATTTTAAGATTTATAGGACAAAAAAAGAAACACGAATATTTTGGCCATTTAATAAAATGAGTGTCATTATTAAAGATTTTTCGAGATATTCAAACAAGTATTGACAAAGTTCCTAGTTTCCTAAATGAAATTTTGAAAACTTTCGAAATGCTAAAATATTTTAGTAATCTAAAAAAATTTACGTTTTTTGATAAACGTCAAATTTTAAGGTATTTATTAAATACAAACAAATATTTTGGGTTATGCCAAAAGTCAAAAATTTTGATTTTAGATTAAAAAAGTGTGAAACTTAGAAAAAACCACTTGTGAACCCTTTGGTTATTTTATTTTATTTTTAAATAAAAAATTTAAAAAAAAAACTTTTTCTTGATGAAGCTTTTTTTTTTTGAAAATAAAACCTTCTGATATAATCATGAAAAACATATGTTTCGACTGGAGTAAAATTTTAGAAGTTAAAACACTAAATTTCAGACGCTTTGCATGCAAAAACTTTATAAAGTTTTTAAAAACATTCTTATACCAAACAGACCTAATATTTAAGAACACTCAAATTTTTTTTTATATCGCTTCGCTTTTATAATGTGGATATAACACTTTTACCACCTTGTACTGGAATAAATTACAGAAATGGTTTTGTGCACCTTTAAAGATTTTAATATTTTTCCCTATACTTTATATACGGAAATAATCCTTTTAATACATGTAGACATTGTATACTCTTTGCCGCTCCCAAACATTTCTAATTGTATAAAAATTAAAATACATAAGAAGGTTGACTCTTTTAGTCAAGGGAATTTTTCTGTATACAAATATCGGTAAGTGATTGCACAACTGACGATAGTGTGATGTAAATACAGAGTCAAAGTACTTAGTATAAAACAGATATACTTTGATCTAAACATAAGTATGTACTAAACATAAAAGTAAGTATGCTTAGCTCAAAGAAAATAGATATACTTTGAGAGAATACGGTTCATATGCTAAAACACCAATATTTCTATTTTCCTGCCATATTCTCTTTTTGAGAATGCTGGGACTTGGGTCATCATATCAAACTTACAAAATTTTTTTCCCACATTTATTTTGTCCAAAAAAATTTTTTCCTCTTTCCTTGCCCATATTCCGAAACTGCAAGCTCCTACAAATTTCCATAATAGCAAAATACTAATGGTTAATGGTTGTATCCAAAAGTATAATTGTTTATTTTATATTATTTGGAATTCATGTTATGCCACCGCTTGTTTTAAATTTTTATTTGTTTTAAAAGTATGAAATTTATTTTATAATAATATACAAACTTGCAATTATATTACATGCACGACTACTCTTTAATATGAACTAACGCCTGCTCATTTGAACCCAATACAAATTTTGACATAATCTTTGAAAATACAATAATTATACGAGAAGTGAATAATGTTCCAAACATGAAAAAAAAAATATTTGTATTATTGTTACAACTGTAATTAATATGAAAGTCAATGAAAATTTTTTAGACATTTAACACCCCTTTCACTCATATTAATAATTCGATTATCTGAACAGCTTCTGACATTGGGATTTATTCAGAGTATCGAGCAAGTTTCAAAAATTTTATCATAGACAGGAATAGTTTCTGTTTACAACAGGTATGTCAAATACGCGGGCCGCACCTCTTGATCCTGCAGCCTATTACGATTTTTGAAAATTATGAAATTTAATTTGTATATCTTTCAAAGTCAGTAAGAAAGTGTTGAAACCAGAGCGAAGGTTCTGCGGGGGTTTGTCACACATCCAAACCTCAAACTTATGCATAGGCGAAAAAAAACTGCTAAAATGCAGGCAGAACCGAATTTTCACGTTTGCTTGTTTCGAGAAGTGGAAGGCGTTCTATAAATCAAATAAGTATATTTGAACAAGTTCAATTTTCCTATGTATATTGCTAAACAGTAGACAGGTAAAGTAAATTCGAAATTTTCGGAATATGAAGAAAGAAGATTTTTAGACTTTAATAAACCTATTTACTGAATTTAACCTATTTACTTTTTATATTGAAACACTTGATGCAAATTTAAAATTAAAATCGAAATGTTGTGCGATTCTGTATTAAAACAAAAATTTAGAAAAGTGGAAACTACTAAGTTTTATAATTATTTACCTGTAAATCAATTTCCCAATATTTCAATTACTATTGGCTAAATGTGTTTTAGCTACGTTCGGTAGCAAATATTTGTATGAACAATTGTTTTCGATAGAAAAAAATAATAAAGCGGCTAAAAGATCAAAACTAACAGATCAACATGTTCAATCAATATCAAAAATTACAACTGCGAATAAAATTCAACTAAATTTCGAAGATTTAGTAACAGAAAAACGTTGCTAGATTTCTTTAAAAAAATGATTTTATATTTTTTTGTATGACTGTATTATGCTTTGTATCACTTTTTATGTTGTTAATAAAAGTCAAAATTTGAGTGTTATTTAGTAGTTTGAATTTTTTTTGTACGGCCCGAAGTAATGTGCGGAATCCCAAAAATGGCCCGTGATGATAAATGAGTTTGACATGCTTGGTTTACAATAACAGTATCGTACATTTTACGATAATAACCCTTTTCATAAACGCAGTTTATCGCGATATACAACGAGAACTGCGCTATATTTGTGTTCATAAACTAATATTGCTAATCAAGTTTGTTCATAATAGCAATGTTTATATCACAAAAATATTTAAACTAGGAATTTTCATAAACTCAATACTGCAAAACAATAATGTCGTATAGATGCAATATATTTTAACAGTTGTATAGTTTTGCTATTTTGAATTTGCAGTATTGCGTTCATGAACAAAGAATGTTCACAACAAAAATCAACGCAGAATGTTACACTACGCAAGAATATAAATATGTACATATATGGTAATACCGCAGAAGACTCCTTCAAGTGGTTATAAACTCCATACTAAAATGTACCGTTTACGAAGGTGCAGGGTTTACAAATTAAAAAAAAACTAGAAGTTTTTTAATCATTGATTTTTAAATTTATTTTTGAAACATTATTTATGCTTCTTTTGTTTTTTTAATACTTTAAAATATCTATCCAACAAATTTGCTGTTTTCTTATTTTTAGTTATATTCACTTCTGTGACTTATCGCATTACATAATTTTCTTTCAAAGACATGTATTTCACAAGTTACAATCGAAACAAGTTAGATGCTAAAAATTTCCACGGAATTAATTATATATATTATTAAATGTATTACAGCCAAATTAACTTTATATTATTCTATTATTAAGCATCTAGGTAAATGTTCCTTTAAATATTCAAAAAGCTCTAAAGATGCTCCAGGACAGTTTGTTAACTCCAGTTCTTGCAAATGACGTAACTGGATTAAGCTTGATAGCCCAGATGATGTTAACAATGGACAGCCCGCTAATGAAAGAATTTGGAGGTTTCGCATCGAACATAAGTGCTGGAGGCCAAAATCTCGAACTTGGGAACACCACCGTAAAAATAAAGTAGTCAAAGATAACATCGTAGATATATATCCCACGCCGATATCAGTAATGTGTACACACCTAAACAAAAAAAACAATAATTACGTGTACATATGTACGTATTTTGTTTGTATAATATATTTGATTTCTCTAATTTTGAATAAATATATGTATTTATTTACCTATCCAATGTAAGTTCTTCTAACTGATTTAAGTCACAAGCTATATACTCCAGTGAAGCATCAGTTATTCGGGGACACCACGACAGATCTAATGCTCTCAATTTTTGTAAATTTTCTGCTATCAATTCCACTCCATCATCAGTAATTTTACTGCATCCTGATAAACTTAGAACCGTTAAGTGTGGTAAAGAATGTACTGTAAATTTAAAACGGAAATATATATTAATTTTTAAAACAAAATCATTCTTTTCAGAAAGTCATTTTTTTTCATTTCAATTAACACGAATAAAAAAAATTTTTTCACTGGAGCTATAGAATAGATAATTACAATTTGTAAAACAAATGTATACCATCATTCATTAATAAATTTGCTATCAGAAAGAAATTAACAATTTTGGTAGTAACATTTTACATTTAGAAAAAAAGGTTCATGTCTCAAATAAGAAAAACATAATATTAATGTCCTTTTAACACTACAGTTTCAAGGAAAAAAAAAACTTCCTCGAATTTTCATAATCGGGAACCAAGCATTGTCAAAACATAAAGTATTACATGTGAAAACACTAACAAAAGTAATTTGCTCTCTGTGAGTTATGAGTATAATAAATTAATAACCTTTTTGCTTTTTTTCCTTTTTATACTAAGAATTAATGTATATGTCATAATGTAATGTAAGGTAATGTATATGTAATATAAAAATGTATATGTCAATCGTACCCAGGGCTGTCGTTTGATTTTTTGGATGGGGAGCAGAAATATTCAAAAAAGGGAACTATTTTCAAAAAAGTGCAATTAATTCTTATATTCCATAAAAAAAAACAATTTATTACCGTACGAATACAAAAAAAGTCAAAAAAAAACAAAACAAAATTTTTAACCAAAAATTATAAACAAATTAATAAATAACTTCGAATCAAAAAGTATCACAATAAAAACTTAAACTTAAAATAAGAAATTTTCGTACTGTAAGTCTAAATAAGATCACAACTGTGTCCCTAGCTTTTCGCATCAATATTTTTAAATAACTCTTTTGAATTTAAAATGTTACTTAACATTAAAGAAATTGTTCAATTTAGTTTTAATCATATTAACAGAACAAAATATCCTTTCAGCTGCCGCACTATGAAGTGCTAAACTGAGGGAGCTTTGAGCATATGTTTCAAGTTTTCAACAATCGACTTCAATTAAAATGTGAAAATTGCAGTTCAAATAAAATGTTAAAATTGTCTATTGAAAAAATTCTATACGTTACAAACATGTTTCATCTGGTGACGTCGACGAATTTTCCTAAGTTTGGTTATTTGAAACTATATCTGAGTAATTCATTAATTTGACTACAAAAAGATAGGTAGCGGCTTTTGAATTAGCAGAAAAAGGTATATGTACATAATTTCGTTTCGTTTCAAGGTTTTGGCAACAAATTTTTAAAAAGTACAAAAAAAAATTTTTTTTTATTTAGTATTTATATTTTTCAACAGAAAAATTTTTTCAAGAATAATTATCAATATTGTTTTTGAGTCTGACTGAGGAAAAAACTAAATCGGAGCCAAAATGCAAAAGGATGAGCTGGGGAAAATATTTTCAAATCAGAACCAAACACCAGCCTCGGTCGCATGTACTTATTGATGTTTCCTTATACAGTAGTGTGCCTTTAACTGTATGTGCATATATTGTTATAAATGCATACGAGTACTATTGCATGCCTGAAATAAGTAAAAACAGAAAAAAATTTGAAATTTTGAATGTTTTACGGTTTTTAACCTTTTTTTTAAGAATTAGTTCAGGAATTTTATTGGCCTATACGTCACTTTTAACATTTTCAGGCTATTGTATTTAAAAATATTTATCAAAATATACTCACATAGAAAAAAAAAAACAAAAACTGATTTTTTGATAATAACAAATTTTTTAATTTTTCAAAATATGGAGGGAAATGTGGAGACATAGTGTTATTTTTTAAGTCTTTCTTTAGCCAGTAGTAGTTTATAAAAAATAATTCCAGGATCGCTAAGCGATAAAATAATTTTATTTGTTGTTTAAAATTTAAATTTAGTGAATAACTTACTGAATATCTATTATTTGTGTTATTAAATAAATCCAAGGTTTATAATTTATATTAGATGAAGGTGCTTTTGAAAGAATAATGTGAGATTTGGTGTATTTTTTAAAGTTTTTATTGTATGCATATTTAAACAAATTATAATAATATATTTGATTACTTTTATATAAATAAAAATGCCTCGAAGATGTAGCGTCGAAGGTCTCCTTTCTATAAGAAACAGTAGTCTACGAGAAAAGAAAAACGTAAATGCTATACCTACTTTTATTTTTCCAGAGAACGAGGTTACAACATAGCATATTGTTAGCTTTAAGGGAACTGTATTCAAAATTTTATTTTTTAATGTAAATATGTTATGTAATTAATAAAAAAAGTGAACTTAGAATGTAAGAATGTATTATGTATTTTCTAATTATGTATGTATTTACTATTTTTGTTTTGCCTAAAAAACAAAATAAATTACCTAAAACCTGTTTTAGGTAATTTAACCCATAATTCATTATCCTAGTTCGTGAGAACATGAAATTTCATTTTCTTATTTGAAAAAGAAATAAAATAGTTTCTGTGTAATATATTTTGCATTTAATCGTTTTTAATTTTCCAAACATCCCAAATCACTATGAACATTTCTAATTCATATTTCTTAAAAAAAGTATGATGATTAATTTAGAATACACTGTATGTATATGTATTAGTAAATTGTGTATTACGAAGGCTTGAGAATAAAGATGCCTGTGGTATTACGCAGTCTTATGTAAAGATATCTGATAAAAGACAAAAAAAGCCAAACAAACAGAAGAAAAAAAAAATTGTTAAAAAACGAGAAAAAATTAAAGAAAGAGTAAGAATAAACACAAAAGACTAAAAATGTACTTATGTTCTGCCAATGTTTGGTATCCCAGAATTGATTTCTTAAGCAGAAATTTATCTTGTTGGTACATCTTTCTATTTTTAATGTCTTTGGTTAAAGTCTAAGTCTAAGAAATTAATTAACAACCCCGTCAACGGTTTAAATGTCAAAAAGCTTCTTCTCACTACATATTTTAAACCTGCTCTCATTATTATAACTTCTCTCAGAGGTTTTAATAAAGAGATATGGTCGTCTTGATAAGGGATTGATCGTATGACTAACAACCATACATCGGAAAAACTTCAATTTTAAGAAGCAAGAATAAAAATGATACAAAGAAATACGAGATCAAATCATGAAGCATACAGATTGAAAAGAATAGCTGCCACGGACCTTTGCCGAAAGAAAATAAAATAAGACAAATGCAACAAAAACATAATCAAAATGAAATATGGAAGTATCAAAATAGTGCTTTCCAAACAAGAATGAACCTTTATAAAAGTAACACTGGAGAGATTTTAGATAACGACGCAGATGTTATCGAAAGATGGGCTGAATAATTTAAAGAGCTGCTAAATAAACAAAACTTTGGGCAGCCTACTTTGAGCAGCAACTTTCAAACTTCTGAGCCTCTCATCATCTATGAAGAACTTAGATAAGCTATTGAAAAAATGAAGAATGCTAAGGCCCCTGGAGAAGATAAATTAATAGCAGTGGGAGTAAATTTGCACTAAAAAATGCATAAGCTAATATGTAGAATCTGGAATATGTAAGACCTTGGAATAACATGTCCCATGCATAAAAAAGGAGATAAGATGATATGTAACAATTACAGAGGAATCGTGCTTTTAAATTGTGTCTATAGGATTTTGGCTAATATTTTATATCAAATACTTAAGCCAGTAGATGAATAGATAACTGGCAAATATCAATGCAGCTTTAGGAGTGAGAGATCAAGGACACATCAAGTGTTTTTATCAAAACAATCCATGGAAAAGTCGTATAAATATAATAGAGACTTGCACAAACTCTTCGTTGATTTCAAACAAGCATGTGTTGATAGGAAACAACTGCACTATTCATTGATACAACTAAGAATATCGGTGAAAATGAGCGCTATGATGACGCTGAGCAATTCAAAAGCTAAAGTACAAATTCAAAACCTAACTTCAAAAGTATTCGATTAGAAAAATTGATTAGAAAACTAGACCTTGGGGGAAATGTCTTCATTAAAAGATATCAAATAATCGCGTGTGCAAACGATATTTCAATTGATGCAAGGAACTATAAAGCAAAGAAAGTAAAGCTGCACGTAAGCGAGCAGAAAACGAAATATCTCAAACTATCTCGAGATGAAGGTGTTGAAAGTTTTCTCTCCCTCGGTGTAATACCTAAAAATGACAACAGCATACAACTCTGTATTCAAGAGCGAATTCAAGCTAGTAACCGTTGCATTTTCGAAAAGATTAATTTTTTTAAAAGGAAAGGACGTTGTGTGTTTCTCTGAAGCTCAAACTCTCCGACGAGCTGAACACGTAGCAAGGATGAGTGAAAACAGGGCGCAATAAAAAGTTTTCAACATCGTGCCTTATATCAGCAGAGCACGAGGTGACCCAACAACATCAAGAGGGACTGTAGATCTTAATATCATAAGCTGGAGCTGTGGAAGAATATAGTGAAGAAGACCAAAGCTTCCCCGAGTGATGATGATGATATATATTTTAAAAATTAATTAAAATAATTTTAAAAACAAAAGTTTATTTTTTAATTACAATAACAATGAGTAAGAACAAAAGACAATCTTCTCAAATTTAAAAAAAAAAGAATTAAATGTAAAGTACGCACGTCAAACATTATATAGCGATAAATGTTCAAAATGGATTCATCTAAAATCTAAATATTCTAAAGTGTTCGAGAATTAATAAAATAACTTATGACTTTTTGAATAAAAGTGAAGGAGAATCATTTAATTGCGACATACATACATATGTTCGACAGAAATTCATAAAAAAAATAATTTAATTTTTTTGAAACTAAACTTAAAGTTTAATGATTTTCAATTTTCCGATGTTGGTGAATAAAAAGTTTTAGACATTATAACTAGCTTATTGAACAAAAACTGTTGGTATGGTACTTTCTTTTCTTTACTTACTCAACTTTATAGAACAATTATCGGTAGTTGCGGGTATCCTGATTCCTTAAAAGTTCAAAAGGTTGTACCTATTTTCAAATGTGATAATCCCAAAACTAATAATTACAAACCAATACTCGAAACAGTCTTTCTGTA